TTTCTTTACATTTTGATATTGGCCATTTGCTTTTTCCAATAAATTATGTTAAATTTGAGGTTGTTTTTTTAATATCTTCTGTTGTGTTTAACATACTTTTGAAAACTTGTATTATATGGGTAATATGTGCTTAGAATCCCTATGCAATTTTATGGCTGTCAACCCTGCAAAAAGGGAGATATGGATGCTTGAACCTTGCTTGGTTGAAAAGTGAGTTTGGGGGGAGGGGTAATTAAAGTGGGCGTGGCTCGTTAATTTTAGGGTTAAACTGAAACTTAGGAACATATTTTTAATGTCAAATGGTTGGTTTAAATTAGTTAATTATCAATTTATTTCAAAATGCCACCAATTTTGACATATTTACCCATGAAGTGACTTTATTGATCGAAGCTGAAAATCAGGCCAAAAATGGCCAAAATATCTTATATCATGTTATTATTACATCCAATGGTTTCTTTGGGGATTATTGCTCTCAGTGTTAATATCTCCTATATATGTAACTATATACTGAATTTGGTTGAAATCTGTTGACCCCCACCCTGCCACCCTCTGACTGGTCTTATCATGGACACACACTTAACAGAAGACCTGCTAGAGGTGTGTGATCTTTAATCTAAATCCAATGATCTGATATAACCACCTGTTCTTTTAAGTAGACACATGTTCTTCTTCTATAGTTTTTACTTTAATCCTAATATCCTCATCCAAATCACTGTGTAATCCAGCACTGTGAACAAAATTTTGTACACAATCTAATGCTGTACTAAGATCTCGAGACGTCTTTAAAAGATCTACATCTCGACAATCATCGACAATAGTTTCTAGTTTAATTGCCTGTTTATGCCAACTACCCGGTAGATATGGCAATGGCAGTGCCTCGTATGTAACACCTAATTCTGCTTTTAGTTTCTTCTGCCTCCCCACCTCCCTCTCAACACACAGTTTGAGAGCTTCTGTGTCTGTTTCTTATTTGTTTTCGTATTTTGCGAACCAGAGTGACTACTGTTTTTTTCTTCCCCTTTATCATGCTCTTCGGAATTTTCGCGCGTCTCCATGTTTGCTATCTTGGTGCCAAATAGTAACATCCGGGTCTCAGCTGTAGTATTTCATTCATAGTAAACCGTGAGACTAAGAGAGAAATTGCGCATTCTGAAGCTGTACTGTGAGATGCCGGTTTTAAGTAGCTTCATTTTTCTGAACGGTTTTGGATAGGATATACCTTGGCCATTATGGGAAAACTGTTAAGGTTTCCAGGAAAATTCATTTTCTTGCTATATTAAGGGTTTAACCCACTTAGACAGCCTTTCACTACCTGCTGCTACCACAAGCCTGAATGTGCATAACTTGGAATTCTGTAATACACAAATATATACAAAATAATTACTTAATACACTATGCAGTATGGCCAATGTAACTGTGAACAAATGTGTTCTCAGATTAACCCTGCCTGACTAAAACTTTACTTCAGGCAAAAAACATTCTACTGACACTGTACTGGTATATAGTCTTTAATAATGCAAAAGTTTACGAATAATTGAAAGTCAGAATTGATTACTGTGTGATTTAAATGTCAAAGTTATTTTCTAATAGCACAAAAATTCAAAATGATACTATGGTTATATGTCCATATGAAAACTGTTCCTGGTCATGATGACAGCGTGACCTATGAAGACCTGCCCTTTACTATAGTACAAGTTGTATACCACGGAAATCACCACAGAGACAAGAGTCCGAATTGCTGTGGAACCCTCTTTAGTACATGTTCCTGCACACCTTCTGACTAGACTGACCCTGGACATCTGTATGGTTGAAGAAGTTTTTTCAGTTAATAACTTATGAATATCTCTCACTAATCTGAGTCTTGCACCCCATTTCCATAGATTAGATCGACCTACTTTAGATCGACCTAACTCCCTGGGGGTTCACGCTAAATAGCTGTCAGCCGGGCGGACACGAAAGTTAATTACCCCCTTACAGCTTGTAGTAGGCGGGACGGACATTTAAGTCGGATTATCTGAAAGTAATCTAGTGAGACTCCCCGCGGGGATAGATCGATCTAAAATCTATGGGAATAGAGCCTAGGTTAAATTTGTGTACACATGGTTTCCAATGGTGAAATGAATTCCTCCTCTGCGAATTGTGAATATTGTTTGAAATTGTATTTGATTACTTTCCTCAGAGTCAGGCTTCGTACAATAAAGTTCCTGTTTACTTGGAAGTACAGAGCATTTTCACGAGAGCGCTATCGCGTGTTCTTGACGTCCTTGGACCACACTTCCATATTGACATCATAAATGGGTACGATGTCGTCTGCTTGTACAATTGAGTTTCACTTTATCAGCACACAGCATTCATTAGGCAAACAAGTCCATTTACTGTTAGGCTGAGTTCAACCGGAAATATTTCTGAGTTCTTATATTTTCCAGTTCCATATTTTCTGTTTTATTGTTCATAGTATTTTCTTAGTTTCATAGTTCTAGCATATTTCCATAAAATACATTTCCGTACATTTCCTAAATTTCCCTGAAACTGTAAATAAAAAATAAATAAAGATAAATAGACACTATATTAAACAATGCACTATTAACCTGCTATTATACCCATATTATTAAGATATTTCTTTCATAAAAAAATAATGAAAACAATTTACCTCTTTGAGGCCTAAACACTTCTTGGTTGTGTGACACTAGCTAAATTTCTACTGAGACATATTAAACGCTTTGACGTAATACACTTGGTTGCAGCACGTGCAAACCGAGACGAGAGCAACTACAGTTACACTTCCATTTCTTCAGCTGAAGTCTTTAGGTTAATCTTTCTTCGGACCCAACATGAACTCTGTTAGGGCAAGTTTAAATTAAGTCAGCTGCCAATCAAATGCCCAGTGTTTTCTGCAAATCTCTGCTTTTGGGGCAAATATTGAAAACTTCTTGATGTAATACTGGTAGGAATTCCCATGATTTAAATACCTTTGCCTCAGTTAAATTTCCTGCTGCTGAACCCCCTCCCCCCCCTCCCAAACAAACACACACACACACACACACACACACAGCTTCCCAAGCATTTCATTTTCCTGGGAGTGAAAAGCATTTTTGGTCAAAATGAGGATAGAGTATATATAATTATGTAAAACTCGTTATTTGTTTAAACTGTATCAATTTTTTAAATGTTAGCTAAAATTTGACAGCTGTTAATTAAAAATGAGAAAGACTTTTTTGTTAAGTGTCTGTACTGTGCAAGCTTCAGCGTATATTGTCTATTATGAGTAGGTTTGTGTGAATGCATATTATATAATGCAATATATTATTATATTGCATATTTTCAAAAGACGAATAAACTACAGATCTTGTATGTTCGCTATTGCTGGTTCATGTGAAAATAACTGTATTGGTTGGTTAATTCATACGAATTAAGAGTGAAATGTATACAAATAATTTGTTTGTTTGAATGGATAAATTTAGAACGTAATCATTGCAGAATTTTACAATATGAATTGTCCTTGATTTTATTTTTCCCAGATATTGATGATAAATACCAAGAAATGTGCAAGATGGTGCTATAAATGTTAACATCATGCCTTTATGATACAGCAGAGAAAATAAAGATATTTTTACATCAGTGAAATTTTGTCAAATTCATTATGTTGCACCATTGCCTCCTGTTATGGTAGTGAAATTTCAATTTATGGTCAATATATATGTTGCATAAGATTAAATTTTATTTAAAAAACTTTAAACTTGAATATCTTTATCGTGTAAATAAAATATTTTTGGCGGAAGAACAGGGAATTTAACATAGTGTCCAGCATTGGACATGGAGAATACCCAGGACAGGGGCAGCAATAGATCTTTACAAGTAGGAACCCAGTGCAACAGAGGTCGAGTATATTGTATTAGTTGTTCTTGGTGGAAGTAAAACACAACCAGCTCCACCAAGTCATGACTACTGCACTGCGATTGGTAGATCAACTCCTTTTCAACCAAATTCTAGTTTTCTTGCATGTACTTTAACAGACAACAAAAATTTAATTCCATGAACCCATGCTTGTCTTTTAACAGACAGTGTTATGATTTCAAACTGGATAAGACAAGAATAATACTTCAGTTTTCACTTTATTCAATACAAGTTTGCTTGGTATAACTTACCAAGTGTTCCACACGTTTCTAATTCGTAACATTCCTTAAATCATTTCTCTAACAATAAATACATTCTGTACCACAATATTTTGGTCTTTGACGCTTAAATTTACAGACACTCCACACATTCTTTACATAATACAATTGCAATGAGCTAGATTTGATAAATAAAATAGATAAATATTCCCAGTTTATAATGCCATTGCCTTCTATATATAAGATTATAGCTGGTCTATGTAAAACTTGTTATATATCATAACATCACTTAACATATACCATGTTTGCATTTAATGTAATAATCTCCAACTTTCCTTAGCAGCACACAAATCACATTTGATATAATTTAAAATTACTGAACATTCAAATCAAACTCAACAAAGAATGATCTGCAGTCCTTACTGAATTCATAATATATTAAAATCAATGAGGTACACTTATTTTTTTCATATTCTTTTAACTAAAGCCAAATGTCACTCATTCTAATTGTAATACTAGTACTACGTATACTAAAATGATTATTAAGTCTAAAACAATTATTGTCAAGTGGGGAAATATTTCATCTTGGGAAGACTAGTAATTTTACTGAAGAGTGGTGTATATTCAGTGTTGGTGGTTTGGATAGAACAAGCATTTTGACTTCAATTTTCAACTTTATATAGCTTTAAATTGTTTAAGGTTCAACAGCAAAAAGCTTTTAATTGCTTTCAACAGATTTGATTTTAATGACTCCAGTCAACCTTCACTGCAGCAGACTTTATATATATGGACTGCCTAGTCATATGACAAGATAATTGCTATATTCTAAAAAAAAAATAAAGATGAAAAAAGATAATAATAAAGGTCAAGCTGTAGCTACAGCTGAGATTAAAAAAGTGACATATTATGATTGTACATGACTACACAAAAGCACCCTGCTTTTTCATTGAATCATATTTAAATGGGAAGATTAGCAGTCAGCTGAAAGCCTCACCTCCAGCTGGCAAACACTGCCCATTTTTAAAACTACCCATTTTTAAAACGGAAGCTGGCTCTTATTTACGTGTAATTACAAGTACATGTATTTAGATTGCAAAATTCTCATAATTACATTGAAACAGTGCATTTCTCAAATGACTCTTTATCTGCACCTGAACACTTGACTGGTGGTATTTATGCACAGGGCATGGCGCATGAAACTTAAACAGGTCTGTAAATAAGGGGGGAAAAAGTGCTTCATGACACCATGCAGCTTTATCACTAAAATCAACCACAGCTTAAAAAGATGCCCAAGATTGAAGACACGGGCCACTTAGTGTCCTCTCCAACCTCAGTCAAACCTTGAAACTTGTGCTACTTGTTTAAACTATATAAAAATTTCCAAAAACATACTTTTGAAGCATATCACAAATTCAAAGTTCTACCTGTCAAACCAAGTCCAATAGTGCATTGCTGAAAAGGAACTAATTCAACTAATTCAAAATCACATGCACTTTCTCACAGTTTGATACTCCCATGCAATCTTCCCTAGTCTGAATAACCCATTTCAATCTACAAGCTTTGTTAAATCTTCGATGAATCATCAAGTATTTCAAACTTACACCACACTTCTTTGCAATATCTATCACAGTCAAATGCTCGACCAACCCATGTGCAACATAAATGCAAAACAAACCAATGTTATTAAAAAATTTGAAAGTTTTTAAAAACATTTTTTACTGAAATTTGCTGTGACTTAAGAACTAAATTCAGTAAATATTTAAAAGATGAAATCAATAGTGCCAATAACATGGAATAAATCCAAAATAAATAATATGAAATTAACACATATTTGAGCTCTACTCTGCTGCTGAGACTTCAAATAAGGAGTCTAACACAATGCAAAAATGCAAAATGTAAAATGTTCAGTGTATGTTTGTGATAATAAAAAAACCAAAGCTTCCAATTATTTAACAACTTAGCAACTGAATAAATTAATGCACAGCATTAGTAAAATATCAAGGAACAATATAAAATGCAGAAAAGATGTTCACTTTATGATCAACTAATGATTGTGCAATTTTAATATCTTAATCAAATCATTATAAGACATGGGTGCTAAGTTTCATTGTATGGCCCTTTAAATCTTGGCTGAATCTTGGTCAACTACTGAATCTTCATTTTGGCTAAAATTGTCTATAAAAGAAACCTTACATAAAAGAAGACTTCTTGTAAGAAGACTATTCTTCACATCCAAAGAAAAACCTCTCCATCTTTGCTCTTTTCACCGAAACAAGCTTTGCTGTTGATCCAACCGTAGTTGTCTGTAACACGGTGACAGAAATCCTACTCCTCTTCTTGGCCTTTTTGCACCTTGTCAATTGTAGTCTTACTTTCTTTTCTTCTCTCCAAGTGTTGCTGTAAAATGGCTAGATGAATATGACAAGTTGATCCTATGATTGCAGATCTTGGTGGCTCTTTCGACTGCTAGAGGGAGGAGTTAACATGGTGATCTCGTGACTCTGTCGTTGCAAATCAGGACTGGCTCGTGAGGAAAGCTCTATCTCTAGCTGAAGCTCTTGTGCTCTTTCCTGGAAGTGAAAAGAAAAATCCTTAACTACCCACTAGACACTTAATTCACACATGCACAGTCTCTAACCCCTTCATCATTGTAAAAGATACAGAGAGGTCTTCAATAAATACTCAAAATTGCATAATGTTTCCCAACTCTCCCCCCCCTCCCCCCAAAAAAAGCACAGACCACGTACATAGAACAATTAAAATTGATTAATTTTACATGTAAAAGATGACATACTGAGAGAGAGAGAGAGAGAGAGAGGGGGGGAGGGGGGAATGAGCGAGAGAGAGGAATTTTACATACCAGCATCTTGAGGTCAACAGAATGTGTCTGTACATTGTGAGCTTCCTCGTGTAAAACATTTGGAAAGAACTTTTGTTCCACTAGCCCCTCTTCACGCACAGTACGCGCAAACGCTGCCATCCACTGTGAGCATGCACCAATATCCAGCCACTTGAATGCTGTGAGATATAAATTATAAATAAATAAATGACATGAATATTTGTTATTTACAGTGAAATATTATAGAAATTTGTCTTCAGTCACCTATGATCAGAGATAATTAATCCTTTAATAATTGAAGTGTTGGTTTCACTTTTGAAACTTTTCTCCAGAGAACAAAAAGCCAACTTATCACATCCAAAGACAGTCTCTTGGCATTTCAATTCTGCGTGTCCTAAGTTTAGATGTTTATTTAAACAAGATAGGTCTTTTTGAAGTCACATAACAGTTCAACAGCTATCAACGTTAAAGACTATATTTTGATTTAAAATTTTGATACCATGCTTTCAGACAATCACATTAAAATGTCAGGAAGGATTCAGTTACAAACTTACATGATACTCTAAATGCGATGGCATCTGATGACATGTGGTACAGAGCGGAGGCTGCTATGACACTGTATGAGAATTGTAGACACCCTGTATCCAACATACACAGATCTAACAACTGAAATGTAAAAATGAATATTCTATACACCCAACATACACAAAACTGGCAACTGAAATGTAGAAATGTATATTCTATACAACTTGTATCCAGCATATACAGGTCTACCAAATAAAACGTAAAAATGAATATTGTAGACACCCTGAATCCAGCATAAACAAATCTTGCTACTGAAATACAGAAATGAATATTGTAGAAAGTTATCAAAATGTGTAAACTGATGTGAAAGAAGATACTGCACTGTTTACACAATACATCATGGATAAATATTCTTATGAAATAAATAAATGTGATCTGGTAAGTCTTACCCTGGCTATCTGCACAAAGTAGTGTGCTGAGTATTGTGGCAGGATGAAGTCTTTCTTGCTGTTTGTGATGTCAATGAGCTGCATGTACACATTGAGCCAAGAGATGACTGTCATGGGGGCAAGATCCCAGTTCAGGGCCTGAAATGTGGATAATCAATGTACAAAAGTCACATTTATGCCTTGGGTCAAATTGTTTTTTCCAAACTTATAACTGTTATCGTTACTGTTACTTTGCACTAGTTTTTCAAAAACAGCCTATAATTATTTTTCTGGTAATAATTAACTCAACTTAAACACAATATCAGTAATTAATAATGTAAAAATGAGCTTTTACATTCATAATTATTTAAACTAAATAGGTCTGAAGATAGAAAAATATTCTAGTGCATTTAAATACTTTCTGAGTGGGCCACAAAAATGATTACCTTGAGAACCACTAATTCCATACATAAAATTTGATTTTCTGTACAAGCACCATCAGTAACATAGGCAAACTCTGACAATTTTGGTGGGTAGATTTCCTGGAATAGTACACAGTATTACTATAATGCCCATATCTATACAGCGAAAACAACATAAATGAGAAATGTTTTATTTTTGAAATATATTATTCACTTATTATTGATAAATAATTAAATCTTGGTACAGCATCAAATTGCATTACTCTTTTTCTTACACCATGTTTATCATCTTGTTTCAGTTAACATATATTTTATTTGACTAAAATTCTAATGGAAAACCAAACAATAATAATAATAACAATTATCTACCTCTAGTTTTGCTGCTATGAACAAACATGTTATTCCTAGTAGCTGTAACTGGTGTTTCTGTACATTGGTTTGCACTGTGAGATATCTATCCAAGAAGTCAAGAGACAGGTAGAAGGTTTCTCTGTGTAGCCGATATACTTCACAAACCTGAAGAAAACATTTTTTGAAATATTAAACAATTAACTGAAAATAAACAATTTATAACAGTTAAAAATAATTGAATAATCTGGATCATATTATTTGGTCTTTTCAACAACAATACTATGTGAAAGTTTCCCTTGAGCAATATTTCTTTGATCATTAAAGAACAAGTTGGCAGAAATGATCACAATATTTTCTACAACTTTGGCTTAAATTAATTGCTCACAGCTTCTCCTTGTCATAAACCTTAAACTTCAGACCTGAAAAATTTGACAGGTACAGAAAAAAAAAGTGTTCATGGTCAAAATCCTGCTAATTTAATCCATTTTAATGTTAAAACATGTCTGCACATTAAAATAATTTTCACCTTAGAGCTCTCCACTGAAAACACAGCTCAAACTCACCTCTATTAACCAATCTAGTAAAATGGCCCTCATTTTGGACTGTAGAGTTGGGTGCCTATTCAAGGCATCATGCTTTCTAGAATTTGCATAAATCAAGTCTTTTTTAAGCATAATTGTCCAAACATCCTCGTGATCTGCCCAGTTTATTTTAGGTAAAGGAGACGGCCTTAGTGACATTGGTGTTGTGAAAAGATTCTGAAACCTCCATCTTGTGCCCCCCGTCATCTGGTCTGGTGGGGTTAATCTCTCGTGTCCTTCCCCTTCTTGTAGGGGGTGTCCTGAGGGCCGTGTGGGGACTAGGGTACTTGTGATCACTTTTGTATCCTGTGAGATGGGGACCCATTGGTTCTGAAAGGATTATGGTTATATTTAGAAATTCTTTCAAAGTATAAAGAATTTTTAAAGAAGAAATTATTTGAAGAACAACAGCAAATAATAAAAATAAAGTATGATGTAAGATTCTTCATCATGAAAGCTGATTGTCTATAAATTCACTATAACTTTTATCAAAACCAAACTCAACAATGTAAATCATATTGGAAACTGGATGGGTGAATAAGTTACAAAATGACAAATGTGATTCTTAGCTATAGTATTATTTTTTATTAAAAAATTTCATCAAGTGAATCATACAACATAATTAGAATCTTAATCACAGGAAATGGTAGAATTCCTTTTTTTTTTTTCATACACAATTATTTAGTTCATCTTCAAAGACCCTGAATAAGCAGGAAGGAAATGCTTGTTGTTCTCTTGACAAATCCTGGTAATTATGTGACTGTACAAACGTGAAGAACAAAATTAGTTTTATCACTATAACTGCTGTGCAATCAAGAACTAGTCATCACTGCTACAAGATGCTAAATTCTCTAGAGCTTGAACATGAAATCAACCAAGGCAGAGCACATTCTATCTATAAATTTGCTCCCTCCACACACACCCACAAAGTTGGGGGGGGGGGGGGGTTTAATTTGGGGGATATCAATGACATTCATTAAGAGACTATTAAAGGATTACGCGGTCTTCCTTTCATGTAGGTCCGCCATATTCAGGTCTCGGCCTTGCTAGAAATCGGCTCTTCTTGATGTATATGCTCTCTTACACAAAACTATGCATTATGGTTGGTAATTAAACCCAATGCCTTTACTCCTAGACCCCTTTTTTCCCATGCCCTGTGTTTTATAACATATCCTGTGGGAAAATGACACCAAAGTTACTGAACCTCTTCCCCTAAGTTGTTTTGTATCCAAAACCCAAAATCCTCAAGTTTTGTTCTCCATCAAAACACTGCCTTTCATTCTCCCCAATGACCCATTCACTGGTCTCATATCCAACTTTGTTATGTACGCCATGCCTCACTGCAGCAGAAGTTCAAATAGAATTGAAAATTTGATAGTCTACAGGCTATCAAAACTGTTTATTGATAGGCATGCCATTTTATACTCAAATAGTCTGACTGCTCTTTTGGCATAGTTTAAAAGATTAGATGTTTGCACCTCTTGATGCCAATTACTTTGTTCACAACGTTGGGTGGGGGAAGAGCAGGGGGTGGGGGCAGGGAGACTGTTCTCAGACACATTCCAACACCAAAGCAAAGATTAAGAACACTATCACATGACCAGTCTAGCCCAGTCCAGTCACCCTGTTACAATTCTCTAACATTATATGACAGCAGATAGCACAATCTTTAAAGATATCTCACTTTTAAAAGAAATTTACCTAGTGTCACAAAAGCCCAGTAACAAAAGAGAGTTGGCTTCCTGAGCTAAGAAACCACAACTTCAGTGGAAGCATGGCCTAGGAAACATTACGTAACAAAAAGAAGACAATACTTTTACTTTAAAGGTCTGTCAATGAAGGAGACAACTGCTGAGTTTGTCTAGGAAAACAACTCTGATAATGATGCTGTTTGTTTCAAAGAACCAAAATATGGACATGGACGATATATGAACATCAAAGACAAGGGTTATCAGCAATCTCACCGACAATAGCAAATTACTCCTATGATTACCTTTTCAACACCTTCCTATCTATACCATCAGAAGTCCACCTCTCTATTGTACACAGAATTACATCACATAAGACACCTGTAATTAGGCAAGGCTCAACTTCTAACCCATGAAAAAGACTCTTGCCCCTAGGTCTTAGGGGGTTATCTGACCCATGTCTCATGACATGGCTTTTAAGAACTAATCTTAAAGATTGGTATTATCAAATAAACGCAAGTTGTTAATTAAAATTGTTTTCACCTAAATGATGGTTATCATTCACGAGTTTACTCATGGAGAAAGTTTTTTTTAATATATATACAAATTGCTTTGTTAAGAAATGATTTTAAAATACAATTCAGTAACTTACAGAGAAAGACAACTCCATTCTGTCGTGTCCTTGGTTGCTCATTTCCTTCATTTTTGATTAGCCAGGTACAAATTCAAAATACAAAGAATGTCATGAACTATCCATAAAACCTAAACATAACATGGATCTGAAGTGATCCTTGATCCAAATAGACACTGCAAAATTCCTGTTATGGTGACCTCTCTGCCCAGCAAAGTACTAGTTATATCTAACCAAGTCCTGAACTAAACTGAACAGGAAGACTGACCACAGCCTCAACACAGAGGTGACCACTGTCCACATGAGTGACCCCAGCTGCCTGTCCACTGTTCTTGTCATTAACAGATTGACCACAGCTACAAAGCATTTCCTTCTCCACAGAATGACCCCAACTGACCACTTATGTATGCTCTGTTTACACAGAATAATCTGGGCTAACTGGATTCCTACAGCTTGGAGTCATTTAATATGGAAGGGGGATTCAAAATAACCTTACTTGGACCAGAAATAGTACAGATTAATTCACCAGGGTCTCAGGTTATCAATTTTAAATAAGCATTATTATTTGTTTGTAAAAATAATTGCACCAGTCCCTACTGCTTTTGTAGACATTTGAAATTAATTTCTAGTAGGAGAGGAAGGCATCAATGTGTGACTTGTTCATTGTTATGTAAGCAGTGTTGACATTATATTGTAGAACAACATCATGTTCAATTGGGAGAACATGTTCCATCTTTTCTCAGAATTTCTTTTGATATTTTGTGGAAATTTTGTATTACTGGAAACCTGCTGTCTCAAATACAAGACATGTCAGAAAATGATCTTGCTTTTAGTGTTATTAGGCCAACTGGCATCTGCAGCTTTGGGGATTTCAAATAATTTGGAGTGAAGGGGGGGGGGGAGGGGCTTGTAAACAGACAGCTAAATTTTGCCTTAACATACCTGAAGTTTGAATTTTTTATCTAATTTTCAAGATTTAAAAAAAAAAAAAAAAACTCAGATACACTTCTGGTATTGAGACTTCCATTCTTTGCATTCAGTGAAAAACTGATCTTAAATGGCAACTTACTCTTACTCATTATCATAAGCAAAGTATACCAAAATTCAAACATTTCAATAAAAACCTATAGTTTTGCCCAAATGAAAGAATAACATCAATCCATTACTGTACCCAGTTGCTAAATTTACCTTTTGGGGGTTTCCCGCCATAGACCAACTCAAAATAGTATGAAAGCAAACAGCTAAATGGCAAAGAAAAGTATCATCTTGGCTATAATTTCATAACCCTTGGGGAGTTTCCTCGTGTGCCAGGATTCAAAGGGGCTTTCAAAGCAAACAGTTCACCCTGAAAACAAGGGGGTGTTTGTACTGTCAATACCCTTATTATTCACACCTGTGTATTAATACTTCAGCAAACTAAGCCATAAGGCCAAATTCTCCACAAGTTGCCGAGGAATACCTCAGAGGCTTTCCCCCATTGTGTTTGTTTACTAATGCAGGGGAGTACAGACCATGGCCATCATTGTTATAATTTCCACTTCATCTTGACACACTTCTGAGTGCAATCAACCCCTCCCCCCCTAACCCCCATTTTAAACCCTACAGCTGATTTACCCCAGGAGTAGGAGGAGGAGGGGTCAGAACTATTAATAATTTTGATAAGTAGTAATTTCCTTGATGGTAAGTAGGGGAGTCCATGCTATGATTAATTTTTTACCGGCTATAATTTATCTAAACATTAGAACAGGTCCATATTTGAGGTTGGACGGTGTCACGGTAGACATGCATGGTTGTAAGCATTGCTTATTGTTCTAGATTACGTCAAACAAGTAACACACGAGTGATATTACGCTTTTCAAATTGTACAACTAAGTCAAATAACTTGCTTCCACAGTTAAGTGCAATTTATAAGAAACGGCTTATATTTTGCTAATTGTACTTGTCACAGAGGCTTGATATCGCTTATATCTTTTAAGTACTTAATTGCTATAATGATCAGACAATGCAGGTAAACTCTGTGATCATGAGAAGAAAAATACCGAAGCATAATACTGTAGTGACTCAGATCATTAGAAAAAGGGGGGGGGGACCTTCATTTGCAAATTATGTTGAGAATTTATTAAATGAATTGTATGATGATGATCGGAAACAAATAAAATTCGACTCAAATACCTCAGATTCTTAACTGGCAAAGAAAATGCAAAAACTGTTCTAATTTTTTCTCCGATTTTGACTTGATTTGGTTCAAAGTTTCAATTTGATTAAAAGTATTCAGATATTTGAATAAAAACATTTTGGGCTAAATAAAGTAAATACAAATGTGCTTGCACAAAATATATGTGTATCTTGGAAGCATTTTCCAGAAAAATTTCCAAATTTCCAATAAAAAAGAAAAATAACCCTTCTGAAGTAGAAATGCAAATTGATATTTCAATTAATTTTTTGTCCACAAGCAATATAATTATGGTTCACATGTATGTAGTTAATATTCTTTGATAGGAAAAGCCCAAGAAGTTTGGAGCAGTTTTCTTTTACCTGTATCTGAAACTGCTGCCTTCTTTTGTTCACCTGCATTTCTCTGTCAGAGTCCTGGAAAACCATCATTTCATACATAAATAATAATAATGTTTACTAAAATCAAAGCAACTAAGAGGTTGCAGCTATACAAATGAATTAGTTATAATATAAATAGGTTAAATTCCATTTATTTCAAATTGTTTAACTTCAAGACATAACTAGCTATATAAATAACCATTTGATTAAAAAAAAGGAAAAAAAGGCTTAGCTGACTGGTGATAACAAAAATATTTTAGAAAGTTTTTTTTTTTAATACTTTTATAATCTAAGGTATGACTCCAATTTCAACCCAACTGCCTTTACCTCATCCACCTCTTCCACTTTCCTCTTCTGTCCGAAGATTTCCTTTTCTTCTGGGACTTCTTTCGTTTTTCTATTCCTCAGTAAGCGAATACTGCAACCAGTAGTAAATAACATTTAGACAGATGCCATTTTAATAGAGAAGATATATAATCTCCAAAATATTTTTGAATATTTTTTATGATTTGAATAATCAAAAATTTGATATGACATTTTAATATAAAATTGAATTGCTACGTTTTTTTTCTCCAATGAGATTAGACATAAATTTTCCATTGCTTCCATCACTGAAAATATTGCAAATAAAGCTTCAAAGCAGTCACAATCAATAACAAACAGGGCATCTTATCCGGCATAGTGCCTTCAGGATTGAATACGACTAACTCGGACATTATCACCATTTTTTACTTATAATAACGAAATGCTCATACATCTTTTTTTTCCAGATTAATCAACCCCCATTAGAATCTCATCACCTGTTTGTAAGACAGTAAGATGTACTTGTAATTTTCCCCTTTTTACTAGTAAATGCCTGTTTTACTGACAGGCCTGGCTAATGCAAGATAAATGAAAATAAAAGAAGTATGTTTTTTTTTATTTTTCCTTGAATGAAACAACATGACCTTATAATTAACTCATGATCATATGTCAGCAGTTATCCGCACCAGTAAATGCCTTAATTTTGTATCAACAACCTAGTAGATACCACACCGAGATTCATTATTTGTTTGTTTGTTTTTTCTTATACATACAATCATTTACTCCCACACCCAAAATAACAAACAAAATATCAAAGCATGTTCATATTAACAACTGAACATTGACATATCTATAAGAAACACATGCAGATCAAACTTGATCTCATTTTCACAAGTTTGTGTGCACAGAATGCTGCCCAGCATAATCCTCAGTCTATAAGCCAGTTTATGTCTATAATAATACACAGAATTATGATGCCAAACTTCATTTACACATACCATATGCTGTTTGAGAAGGCTAGGGGTTGATACCACACACCGTAAAAAGGCATTGATCTTTTTTACATGACATCACTTTTCTGTCTCCCATAAATTAGCCCTGCTACACTTACTTAGATGACTCAAAATATCAGCTGTTTTTTTTTTTTTTTAATCAACATGTACTGTAAATGACTCCTCAAATGTGGCAGAAATTGCAGTTATATTTTTTAATTGCTTGAAAACATTTCAATGTTTGCTTGCACTAATTGTCAAAGGATTTTGAAAGGAGAGAAAGTGAAACCTTAAAATACTTGGCTTCATGTTATGACATCCTGATGAAGCCTTTACAGTACATGGTCTGTTGCATTTTAAATTAAATGTAAAACCAAATCAAATGATACAGTATGAGCTATTGCAAACATTAAATTGTAGAAAACGAACAAGCACAATAAAAACAGACTAAATTCAGTTTCTGAGACACATAAGAACTAACTAGCTTGTTGCTGTATACTTTCAAAACGTTCATGATTGAACCATACTCCACACTCAACAGCTAATTAAACTAATTAATAAATAAACACTTCATTAACATTTTCCATAATATGCTCCCTAACCATAAGAGTTCATCTTTTTACTGCTATATCTACATGATCTAAATTTTTAGACAATTTTCACTGACTAAATACATGACACTAATTTAGTCCAAGTTCATTAACAGACCCGATGGCGGGGAAAAACATGAAGTTACTTAGTTGCAAAACTCACCTCCTTCTAGACATGATCTTCCAAACTTCAAGAGGTATCTGAAAATAGAATGCGTATTTGATGCAAATAACCCCAAAATATTACATTACGCGCTGGATAAAACTCTGCAATCACTTAACAAAGATGAAATATTTTCCGCCATCCACCCACTAGAGGCAACAATGGAGTCCGAAGTAGGTCAAACAATATTTGGCCACTTTTAAAGTTCTGTAAAAGTACGATCGTCAATTGCAACTTTGGATTTTTTGGCATAATTACACAATATGGACATTAGTCTTTCATTTCTGCGTGAATTAGCCAAAAGTTAAAGTAAGATTTAACAAATTGCGCAAAAAAAATTTAGGAGCTACTCCCGTACCTGGGCCTGCCTGCCAAGTCTCGGTCCCGCCAAGTGGACGTACGCAGCTGTTCTTGCGCATGCACGATTATGGCGGGAGAAGATCGGTAAATAATCAAAATAAATTCACGGAAATTATTTTCCCAGTGACTTAGATATTGAATAAACGTGTTTGGAACATTTCCTTAGCATTTGTTAGTGTTAAAAAAACTTTTGGGTCACTTTCCTCGATGTAAACAAAGCGATGTCTTGGTCATGAATGGGATGAGCAGACGGACAATGAAATCGCTTTAATTTACAATAAAATATTTTGTTGGATTGACAACATGAAATATTTATGCTTTTTAAACTAAGCTCACCATAGTATGAGACTCTTTACAATGAAAATACAATTTATTCATATTCTAAAGTGAGAAACACTGGAGGCCTATCCTAGAAATGTAGTCTGCGAGTTGGCAAGTTTCGGTTTGGGTCGTTTGCAACTTTAAAAGAAGTATTTCGTAAACAAAAAACGATGAGCCTGAAAAGTAACAAAAAGTTCTCCAACTTAGACGAGTATGTATATTAAGCGGTATAAATATTATCTAATTTTAAGCCAAAAACCGCGAAAGTTTGAGGAAAAAGCCCCGCGAAAGAATCCATGGTGTGCAATGCATCCTGGGAAGTGAAAAGCTCAAAACGCACCCTGATTGGATGAAAAGTCGTGCTCGCGGGGGAGGGGTAAAGGTCATATGAAATCAACATTCACACATGTTGCCATGATGTTAGTTGACGTGCTTTACAGAAATATGTAATCTGTTTGTTTTCTTGCTAATAATTTTGATGACAACATGAATGCATTTAGCAGTACATTCGGGCGGCTCAGGGGCGTTGTCATAGGGATGGTGCATTTACGTGCTTTGCCAGGTATGCCATATTATTTAGCGGTGGTATGCATTTGATTAAAAATAAACGATACTAGTATGTGCCGGGAAATGGATGGTGCTATTTCTGATATTATCCATTGTCATCATAAGCAATTCTGTTGCATCCTCACCACTAATGTTCCATCGCTGCCTTCTCTAACGTGCCATTTTTAATATTACCAGAAAAATATTATTTAGATATTTTATAATTTACAGTAGTACCAGGTACATGTATTTATAACAATATTATTAATTATAATAATGTACATTCATGATTGGTGGACATGTTTTATCATCATCATAATGTAGGAACTCCGGCAGGCACTCTTTCTATGCAGGAAATCATTGAAGTTGCATGTAAAGAAGCCAAAATTTACAAAGATGCAGGTGTGGTAAGTATTTTTTTTATTGGATTGATTGATTGACTGACTTCAACTGATTGATTGATTTATTATTTTTTATTATTATTATTATTATTATTATTATTATTATTATTATCATTATTATTATTATAAATTGGTTTGAGTATTTTTAACAAGGAAAAATTTAACATTTGCACTGGAAAGAATGTAGTTTTTACATTTGTTAATTTTAAGACTATTTTGTAAATTTACTATATACTGAAAAGAAGATATTTTTTAAGAAATTTTCTGTTGCTGAACAGTCATAGTCAATATCCAGATAATGATTATGGCCTGAAACTCCAAATGTCCTGTGAAATAATTTATAAATACATTTTGAAACCATTTTTTTCTTCGCTTGGCTCAAGCCAAATATATTTTTATTTGCATAAGCCATATATTGAGTTTTTGTAAAAATGAAACTTTCTGATGAGGTGGTAATAATATAATTAATTTAGAAGGGTGTAACATGCTTGAAACAGTAAAAGGGGACATTTCACTTCTGAAAATCCTGTATACTTTCTTTTTGATATGCAGTTTGATTTCTGGTTTGTTTTAGGATGCTGTGATGGTAGAAAACATGCATGATGTGCCATATGTTCACTCAACAGGGGTCGGTCATGAGATAACAGCAAGCATGTCTGTTGTGTGTTCACATGTTAAGGAAGTGTGTGGGAGCATGCCAGTAGGAGTACAGGTGCTCGCAGGAGCAAATAAGCAGGCAATTGCAGTGGCGCTCTCTAGTGGTGGGCTGTCATCTAATTCATTTTTTTTTCTTTAAAAGTATTATTCTAAATATCATAACTTATTCTTTGATAAGTTAATTGACACTTTTTTTTAAAGGTGTTGCAAGAATTTTGAAAATAATTTTGGAACCTTTCTGTATTTGTCTTTCTAGATATGATATGAGAATTGTAATAATAACAGCTTTGGAAAAATTAGTTTGGATTTTAAAAGCTTAACATGAATTAATAACTCATTCTTATATAGACAAATGTACCAGTATGGATCCCTCAACTGAATCATTACACAATCATAATGATCAGTACATTGTTTTTTATGTTCAAGGTTTTGATAACTGTCTTTTATGTATTTTGCTTTCATCTAGGCCTGCAATTCATTCGTGCTGAAGGATTTGTGTTTTCTCATGTTGCTGATGAAGGGCTTATGAATGCATGTGCAGCAGAGCTGTTACGATATCGTAAGCAAATTGGTGCCAGCCACATTCAGGTGTTCACTGACATCAAGAAGAAACACAGGTAAGGTTAAAATCATGCACAAAAAATAATTGACATTTTGGATATTGTTCAGTTTTCGTAGAGGAGCTTGAGCAGTGTGTGTGTGTGGGGGGGGGGTTTGCTCTGTTGGGCATGTCTGCATGTAGAATAATCAATTGAAGCACAGAACAGATCTGTTCTACTGTCTTTTCTATTTCCCTCTTTTGTAAAGGTTGTCGGTTCAAGAAATAAGTTATATGCTACAGTGTATCTCTCTTTAATCTATATAAATGACCACAATTTCCTAAATTAAACATCTCAAAAGATTGACCACAGAAGTTCATGAACAGTCCATAAAAACTTTGCAAAAGTAAAAAAATTAATTTGTTCTGTTAAAAGATAATCATGTATTGTTTGCTTATTTTTATTCGCTTTTATCAGTTAATTATGGAATACACTATTTTGACTTGAAAAAAAATTGACTTTATTTTTTCACTCTTTTTAGTTCTCACTCTATCACCAGTGACATCAGTATAGCAGAGACGGCCAAGGCGGCAGAATTCTTCCTCAGTGATGGCGTGATAGTGACTGGTGCAGTGACCGGTGCCTCAGCTGACCTACAGGAGTTCAAAGGTGACCATGAAACTAAAGTTTTAGAGTTCTTGTGTTGTTACTTTCTACATAAAAAAGTCTAGCTGAGTTTCACAGGCCCCTCCATCACTTGGTCAAGGATTAATTACTTAGACCGCATTCACATCGAGTTTAGCCATGGCTCTACAAAGCCACAAACTAAATACAGTATAGCGGACATACCTGAAAGGAAAACCGCTTAATCTTTTGATAGTCTCTCCACCTCTCACACGCCTCCCCATGTGTTGTCCCAATGGAGCCGAGATTTAACGACTGTACCTCCACAGGGATGACGCATGGGGAGACGTGTGAGAGGCGAAGAGAGACTATTTAAAGATTAGACGGTTTTCCTTTCATATTTAGTTCGTGGCTTTGTAGAGCCATGGCTCAACTCGATGTGAATGCGGTCTTAGACACATCATTCATGTACATGTTTTTATAACTAGGTAAATTATGTGATAACATAGTAATATATAAATATACAAATGATGGTTAAAGGGTTCCAGTGATATCTAAATACATACACTTGCATGTGTTGAATAATTATCGAAGGTGTAAAAGAAAATTTCAAACTCAGTATCAGGCCTACCCAACTACTGGACACAACAGCGAACGATCCAGAATTCACCGTAGATCAGGTCGCGCCACCGGTTTTCAAGGTTTATATCAGTACGCGTTTGAAAGTATCAGACGCAGCACCCTCTTGCCTGGTATGCATTATGATAGTGACGATTCTGCGCAGGGTTGGTTAGTAGTGCATCTCATCAAAATTCATGTGCTAGTGCTATTTTCCCTGTTTTATTGAACAATACTGTGATTTTTAAACATTAAGTTCAGGTTTGAACAAAGCCAACAATGTTATCTAAATAACTAGGTGCAATCTTTTAATATTAATTTAGTAATGTAGATCTAATTCTGTCAGCAGAAGCATATTCTGTAAAGTGGTGAAATAATGTTGTCGTACAAAATTGGCCACGGTATAATACTGTGAAATGCGCACTGATACACACGTTGAAAACTGGCAGCGTGATCTGATCTACTTGTTAATTCTGGACCCTTCGGTGCCATGTTTGGTGCTGGGGGTAGTTGGGTAGGCCTGAGCATGAAGTTGAAAGTGCCCTGCAGTTATTTTCTAGTTATAGTCTGTATTAGCTACATAATGATTGAAAGCTTAATTAACTCCTCTCCCTCTTTGCCACCTTCTATTTTCTCTGAGTTAAGTACACTATACTACTAGTACACTCCCTTAGTAAGTCAGAGGTCTGCATATGACAGAGAGGAAAACTTGATTGCCCCCCCCCCCCCCCCCCCCCAATTATCCTATCTATTATCCCATATTTAAGTGGTCAGCCCAGTCAATGCTGATCTGGATTAAAGAGAGATTATGTAGTGGAGAGAACATTCAATAATCTGCAAAACTAAGTCAAGTGTAAAACCTTTTTTTATTTTAATATCATATTCGTAGCTCAAGCTTTGTGAGGGAAATGAGATTTACATTTTAAAGTTGGAGCACTTACTCAAATATTTTGCATTCCTATATGGAAGTGAGTAAAGAAAATATTTTTATCCTTTTAAAAATGTGATCTTGCCATTACAGCTTACTAGTTATCAATGTGCAAAGAGCTAAGCTTACTTGATCATTAATTTTGATTGTATAGAGCCCAGATGCATTTAAAAACTCATAATGCATTATGCACATATTTATATGTATGTGGATTTGTTTGTTTTTCAGATGTGCAAAAAGCAGTAAAAATCCCAGTTTTGATCGGCTCAGGGGTTACAGTGGATAATGTGGAACAGTATGCCAGTGCCAATGCATTCATCATAGGATCGTACTTCAAATATGGTGGACACTGGAGTAATGAGATCGACCCAACAAGAGTGGCAAAATTTATGGAGAAGGTTAAGCTTAAAATACAGACACCATAGACATAATTCTTGTGAGTTGACAATTTGAAAAGTTTTAATGTTGTTGAAATTATATACATGTAGATGTAAATATAGCAGGCAACATTCAGAAGAAATATATATATTCACATGTGTGTATAAGATCATGCATCACCACTATTTCAGAGGCAAGTAATGAAGATCTTTAGTTCTACTGTATAGCTTGAAATATGTGGCTGGACAGATTGTAATTGTTCAAGTGGGGGCACAGCATGTTGGTTTGCATGTTTGTGCATTTTAAGGTATTGTCTAGTCATGTTTGCATGTAGCAACACATCATAAAGCTAAGATAGTTTCAGTTTACTGTACAAAGGCAGAGCTTACCTTTTACATCACAATTATTTGAATATGTCCAGATGTGATAGTGCCAAGTGGAAAAAATTCAAAGTATTTTGTCCTAATTAGCAAAATCTAGATAAATATTTACAAGAAGATTGATTTGCATTTTTAAGAGGTCATTCCCAGACCTTGATCTATCTCCGAGGGGATTCTGGCTAAATTGCAATCAACTTAAGTGACTTAGATGTCTGTCACACCTACTGAAGCTGCTAGGGGGTAATTCATTATCGTAGGTAGGGGTGCCAGACATCTAAGTCACTTAAACAAAAAGCAATTTAGCGAGAAACCCCTTGGAGATGGATTAATCCTGTCAGGTCGATCTAAGTCTGGGGACCTAGTCTAAATCTTCGTCATAGAAAAAGGCAGGTTGGTGACAACTAGCCAATGTCAATTTTATAAATGGTACCAAAGACTGAAAGTTATGAACTGGGTTGAATTTTCAGAAACTTATGGTAACATGCTGGTTAAAAGCACTTTTAAAAAGGTGGAATTTTAATTTTCCTGCTGTTGTACATTCATAAGGTTATATGAGAACATATGTTATGTACTAGACTTCTTTATTAGTTGAAATATCTATAGCAGAGTTTTATTATAATATAATTTATATATTACCTATTTTCTAAATGGGATTTTCCATATATTTCATAAACCAGGTTATGTATTTGAAATCATGTTATAGTTTAAATTTTTATTTAGACAAAAATCTATTCTTTGTTGTTGTTTTTTTTTCACAAGACCTACAGAGCCTGTGTGTGTTATCTGATATAACTCTACCATTCCATTATGGACTTATGATGGTAGAATATGGTCACAGAGGCTGCAAATAACTAAGTTGAATTCGTAACAACTGAAAATTAGGAGCAGACGTCAGTGCTCTTTGAGCATCCTACAGAAATCCCACTGCTGTCATTTTTTAGTCTTCAGGAAAACGGTAGGCAAATGTCAGAAAACCTTTGTTGTCAGCCTTAATGGAAAAAGATCAGTTTCAATTTGCTTTTTCCAAAACGTTTCTGGGTCTTCCCATCAATTCTGTAACATCAGTGAGCATGGACATAAAATTCAAGTTTGATCCAAGTTCTTTTTATATTTGGACTTTTTCAGCTGTAAAAGCAATTTGCTTAATAATAGCAATGTTTAACTTTGGACATATACATGATATTAGTCATTGGAAATAAACTTCCGTCTGAGCCACTTGAAGTGGATCATCAGGTCTCTGCCAGGAATCATTTTAATGCACAGATCAAGCTAATGGATGACAAACACAGATAAAATTGATTTCAAACTCACAACAGTTTATTGAGTACTCTCTCTGCCTAGGAACACAATGCAAATTTCAATAAAACATACCCGCAGCATTCATACAGCATAATGTGGATGAATCTGACATATACATGATGCCAGTCTTAAAAGGATATCTTGCCTTTGAATGATATAGTTATAATGACGTAATATAGCAATGGCAGAGGTGGGTTTTCTTCACACTGTAGCATTCTCACACAGAAAAATTGAAAGTCCAGTCATTCACGTGCTACTGTTACTGTCACTGCTGCCAGTTGACAGTTGCTACTGCTGCCGTGTTGGTACTGGTACAATGTATGGTGATACAAACACACCAGTTGTCTATAATGGATCAAGACGATTAAATATGGAACTCACAAACCAGTCAGAGAAATTGAAAATTCTACTGTTCTTAAATGTTCTATAAAATTCTTCAATGCCTTAGAGCTTGGTTATCATTTGCATAGTAACACCATCTACATGTACTAGAATCCATGTGTAATATGTTGTTTTGCACAAATTATTGTAATTGTTGCATTCTTGTCTTCAACCAATATGCATTTGTGCTCTGAGTATAATAGTTTGTTGTTTTGTTTGTTTTGTGTGTTTATATTTAATTGAATCAAGTGTAAGCTACATGTACCAAATACACTATACTTAAATATGTAATACATATAAATGTTATTTTTTGTGTTGTTTATTAATTTATGGCCCTTTTTAAAATACTGACATGTGCAAGAATTCAATCACCAACATGTATGTTTTAAGCTTTTTTTTTTTTTTTTGTTCATCAACGAATGTAACTTTTCATTTAATCTCTATCATATACTAGCATGCATTACCCTCAGTATAAGACTAAGGCAAGTGGTAAATTCATTAGGATATTGCCAAATGTGCACCTTCGAACTGGATTTTCCACCAGTAAATTTAAATATAGCAACCTTTAAAACCTTAAACAGGTGGTAATTAAATATACCCTAGACTAACCACCTCCAACACGTAAACCACAAGTATATAAAAGCACAGTAAATACGTGTATAATATTACACTCAAATTGGAACTAACTGTCAACATTCAGCATTTAAAAACAATTCCAAAAGACACATTTGAATAAATGAAAAATAAAAACACCCAGCCCATTCCAGCAGTTAAACAGTTCAAGTTTTCATCTTGAAATGGCATGCAGACTAAATGCTTAAAATAAAATGTAAAAATTTAGATGGTGAACTTTTATATATAAGGGCATGCTGCTGTGATAACTAACTCATTGCAATTAAAATTTTGATTCAAAACTGTTTCTTGCAAAATATCACATAACTTGTCACATATTCTCATAAACAAAGTGTCTTAAGGTCTTTACACCTCTTGATATGTAAACTATATGGCAGCCTATCTTTGAACTTGGATCTATGTCAAGCTGTCCCTGACTAAAATCCAAGGCCAAGAATAAATCATGTACATAATAGTGCATTGTATGGAATAAGCCGGTAAACATCATAAACGGGTAAACTGAGATTCATGTTAATGTCTCATATTAGTGAAAATGATGTCTCCAGTTGTGCAGAGAATATTCAGGACGTGTATAACAGACAATTGAGCCCACAACATAATTTTGTACAAGGGGAGTAAATAGAGACAACTTGAGAAAGGGAACCAGTCTGACATAAATAGCAGTGATGGTAACATCATGAAGCAAGAACCAGTCTTACCACATGTTGTCATGTTCATGTTATCTGTCTTATTACAAGGCCTTGTATTGAAAATATGGCTTCATCTCGTGTGTAATAGCATAACAACTGTGACTGATTGTGATGGATGGATTAAGACATTATTGCGGCAGACATTTGTTTTCCAACTTCCACCTGCTTTCTTTTCCCTGAGCTGTGACTTAATATGCTTAGTTACTATAGATAACAATCCTGAATGTAAATTTGTATACATGCATCCAGCTTTGACATATTAGTTGTGGACAGAGTTGTCTGAGGTGTAAATACCCTGTCACTGTCAGTGTGACATGATGTGTCCGTGTGTCCTCTCTCTGTGACGAGACCTTGCATGACTCGTCATTTATGTAGCAAAATGTTTGCTGCAGAACAAGTGGCATTGTGCCATACTTGTGTGATGTTAGACATTAGTGTGACATTTGACATTTATGTGACATTTCACATTGACCTGGTCTGATAGGCTGTTAGAAGAAATTGTATCTTTTCACGAAGTAATCGAATTGTTTTTGTCAGCAGCAGCCTGTGTAATTGTGACAAGTACGTAGACATTTCACTTGTCACACCAGTTGTGACATCATGTCTTGAACACTGTGACATCATGAACATTGATACTAACACCACTGTGACATCACTCAGATTGTGACATCACAGGTATTTTAAAATTTGCAGCATACACAGTATAACAGCACTGATCGTATGCTTATTGGACATATTCCTATCATTTAATACATCTACATATACAACATTACTGCAACTGTGACTTCAACATGACATCTCCTAAATCCAATACCTATATATACTCTTATGTATAAGATAAACAATAAATAACAAAGTTCTTGGCAATGGTCAGGTCCAGTAATCTGTGAACTCGTCCAGGGTCGGTCAAGGTCCAAATGAATGTACAATTCATAACTGCTGGACATGTACTCTAACAGGCATGTCAAAAATGAGTTTTTAAATCCAAGTTCAATTTCTTTTCCTTCAAATGAATGATGCAGGTATCCAGTGATCAATTATGTGCACAATAGTACAATCATTGATCTACAAAAGTGGTGACATGTTGTGTTCTTTTCCCCTGTGAGTATGTGACAATTGATGCTAGGTATTAATAGCTTTCTGATGACAGGATGGATTGAACAGAATACATGGTTTCAGAGAGAATTTCCTTCTCATAAACAATTGCACATACTGGGCAGGGTTCTTGACGATAAAATAATGACACAAACTGCTTTCTCTATTTTTCCTGCTATTTTTCTGTCTAGCTATTATGATTGAATGTATCAGTCCTTCTGTAGTTCACGTTAAGTGATATTCAAGTTAAAATCTTTTAGTGCTGTTGTTTCCTGGTGCCAGGCTGTTTGATTTTCCTCTGGTGCAGTGCTTTAGCGTTGGAGAAACGTTCGTGCACCTGGTTAGCACGTGTGAGCTGTTTCTTCCTCAAATTGCGAGTAGTGACCTGATGGTGGCTCCTTTGCATAGATTTCACAGACTGCGCCTGCGCTGCAACAAGGCCTGCTCGTGCAGCCACAGCACGTGGCCTGTGCGGAGGTCTGTGGATGACTGGTCTATTTTGCTCATTTTCAGTGGAAGACTCAGAATCCAGAGAATCGTCAGCACCTGTGCTCGACCCTCGTGGCCGCGGCCCATACACAGACATACTGGGGTGTTCTATGAGTAGATTCTCCATGGGCCCCGTCTCCAGCCTGCCGCTCCCTGCAGTGAAACAAGGGGGTGGAGTCACTAGCCAGCTATCCCAAGGGGACTGATGATCTGGTTGGGCATGGCCAGAAGACCCCCGGGACCCCTGGGAGTCCCTAGAGCTATTGGAATGGTCGCGTTGTTTTATTATATGTGGGACATTGTCAGTTTGTGATGGTAATGGCACTTGAGATGGAGAGAATGGAGGAGGGGTTTGAGATTCGACACGTGCCGTACAAGTTAGCGTGCTTGATGAAGAAGTAGTAGTAGTAGTGGTGGAACTAGTATCTGAAATAGAATATTATAAATTATGATAAGATACCTTCCTAGCTCACCATCCTCTACACAGATGGACCAACACCAAGGAAAGCACAGAGGATAGCTAGAGGGAAATAAAAAAGATGGGCACCCCAGATTAAATATTTAGAAGATATAATTTACAGTTGTGACATATCTTTTTGTTTGCCTTGTAAATCATTTTTCTTTACATTTTTCATTGATTATATTCAAAGGCTTTTAAAATAATTATTCAAGACTAATAATTTTTCCTGTTTTTACTTTTGTCATGTTTAAAAAATATTGATAAATCTCAAATCAACTTCATGAGACTAAGAATTTAATTAATTATGTGCAAAATAGGTAATACTTTTGATAAAAGAGATTAATATTCAGACCTAAGAATATGAGAGATGACCACATACAATGTAGTTTTATCCCTCATTGTGCTATGAGATCCAGTTAATATGTAGTTATTATTCACCTAGAATGGTGAAAAAATGTCCTGTTGAGAGGCTATTAGTAGATGTCTGTCTTAACTGGCTATAAATTATTGTAAAAGTGACACTTTTACCTATCTAATGACAATTGGCAGCTGATCCTTGAGCCAGAGCCATACCTGATCATACCTGACATAGGCTGTGGCAGCTGTTGTGTGCCTTGTGTAATGTCACAGGTATAAGAGGGTTATTTTACAAGACAGTAGATTATAACGTCTGGCAGTCACAGGGACTTAATTATGTAGTTATATATATATACAAGTTGAAGATCCTTTTCTACTATGGCAGACTACACCCGTAGGTGGGACAGAGAAGGAGGGGGGGGGGGGGTGAGATAAGAAAGAACTGCCCTTCTGCCTGGAAAAGATCTATTTGAAAATGGTTGACATTGGACATAAAAGGAAAATTAATTGCCAGACAAAAGACCAACATTGTATTTTGTCAGAGTAGTGCTTGCCAATAAAGTGTATCTTAATCATTCTAAGCTGACTCCAAAGTCAACTGACAAGATGCCAGACAGCTGCTGCATGTCTACAGAGCTTGGGCTGGTTACACAAAACAACTAAAGACTGAAAAAAATGGTCTACACTTTCAGATCAAAACATGGTTTTACTTCAGTCCAAACTAAATCCAAAGTAGTCAATATGAATAAGGTATTGATCTAAAGCATCAGCAGTGTCTTTCTTTGAGTTACTATATTTCATTTAATAGGACTGAGTACTACATGTACTATATACATGCTGGTTTATCTTCACTTAAGACCAACTTTCAGTCTCAAGTCATCTAGTGAAACAGGTCCCTGGAGACAGGTGTGTGAGGGCAGTTATCACACCTGTACATATAACATTCACCTGCATATACTGTAGTGGTTTATTTAACGTATATTTAGCATACGGAGATTTGATTGCATTACTTCACACAGAAAACTTTTAGCCCCCCCAAAAAATTTAACCCGAAAGACAAACACACTGTGGCAGAAATGTAACTTCTATCTCATTTTTATCGTAGCCAGAGCAAAATTTTGTTGCATGTTTGTGAAAGTGAACATGCTACCAGCATGACATTAGCAAAAAGTTTTCCTAATGACATATATATATATATATATATATATATATATATATATATATATATATATATATACAGTACATATAGGAATGAGAAGCTATATTGACTCAATCTACAGAAGGGGTCAGCGTTAGCATCTGTTGCTTAATTTGCCTCATGTGTGGAGATTAAGTGACCCACCTGTCTCACCTGTGTATACAGGTGTTATGAGCTGCAGATGAAACAATACAATGTTCACCAAGTGACAGGGGTCAAAATGTCTGCGGAAATCCTCAGTGTTTGATTAGCTATGGTGTATATGGGACTAGGGATTTTTATAATATCCTTCATTTGGTTTTAATCCATACTAGTACTCCTATGTAGATTTATTACCAGGCAAAGGAGGGTTTTAATAAGCTACACTTCATACATGTATATATTGATAACCCCACAGGAAATTACACATTCCTTGTATCTATCCATGGTTGCTGACTTTAAACCCCACTTTTATAGTGCCATTATTATAATATCAAGCTTCATGCCTTATATTATCATATATGTTATAATTGGTATATAGCTTCCAACTATTGCAGTAGTGTCATCATCTCTTCCTCCTGTGCATGGATTATGTGTGATCATATTAATGCTTTCTGACAATGTATATGTTGAAGAGTTTGTAACAGTGGTCTGTAATGTTTTAGTATTGTGTTTTTGTTTGTGGGGGGGGGGGGGGATAGATATTTGAAGAAATACAATAATCAAGCTCTCATATAATCTGTATATAAACCAAATCATCTAGCCCCTTGGGAAAGCAGCAGCGAGAGGAAATGAAAGGATAGAAAGCAGAAGCATTTACTAAATAAGTGATTCAAAAGCATGTGGCAAAAAACATAATGACATGTTTAATATACTATTAGGAAAATAACTGAAAATGTTACAACATATTTAATTGAATCATATTACTTTAACTTCTCAAGTTAAACAGAAATTATTTTTATGCTATTAGTGCTTACTGTTTTATACAAATTACTCTAGAGACTATTTTAATTAAAATTTATCAATTTCCCAAAAATCAAAATTAAACAATCAAGAAAAGCTTTGACAAATTAAATAGGACATTTGAAGAGATAGAATCAAGTCATACTTGTCCTGTCCACTAGCACCCATTCATTTTCTGCGAGGGTTGTCTTGAGATCAACTGCCTCGTGTGGCGCCTCCTCGGGGCCAGCACCAAAGATAAGGTTGGACAAACCACTCAGCATTTTCTACGCTAACTTCACACAAACAACACTTGAGATCTGAAATATAAATATAAAAAGAACAAAGGTAATTGAATATTATGGGGAGAGATAATGGATGCAAGTAATGTAATCATGTACACTTTTTGTTGATTGTTTGCCTATACCTTTAGCAGACCCAGCATGATGTAATGCAGTCAATGCCCCTGGTGCATTTCTATGTTCTTGACAGACACTTCTAATAAAGTCAAATTTACAGATAACTGACAAACATGAAAAGTTTTAATTTTAACAAGGATCATGATCAAAGGTGTCGCTTCTTGAGAACAATAACTTTTATAGCTGTATTGTTTAAATTAGAAATGAGACATAACCTATTGATGAAGTCACTACACATGAAAGGCACCAAGTAGCTTTACCTGGTGGATACTTCATCAACTATTGAATATATTGGGAATCTTGACCGTTTACGTACATTCAAGTGGGGATCCAGCCATATCTAACAATAGCATCAATTGTTGGTTTTATGCAAAAGTTGAGGTAATAACAGATTGCTCCTTACTCCTATCAAAACTTTGGGGGTTAATTAGGGTGGCCAACAATAGGTGTGGAACAAGCAGGATCAGTCTCACTGCAAGTGGAGTCGGCCTTCTGGCCTAATATCTCTGTCTCTGTTCTGTGCTAAATTTAATAATTAAAAATAATGAAGTGTTTGTTCCCCCTGAAGATTTGCCTTTCAGGTTCTGAAACTAATGCTACTTATGAGTCGGACTATTCCAGGACACTTTCCACAGGTACATGCAACTGAGAGACACTTGATCACTTTTCTATTCATTAAAACACTGTTACAATTACCTGGTAGTTTTACACACATTTAATACCAGATAATCTCACACTGAATAATAAATCCCCTGCTTATCCCTAGCAAAGGTGCAAAAGTGGAGAAAAGGGGTATTTAACTGTTCTAGTTCTCTATGGCAGAAGTTATTTATTGTATTTAGCAGGACAAGTTGACAGCCAAGGGCTGGTCTCATAAAAGACCTTGAACCCAACAATAAGTCTAAACTTTTAGATCAAAATTTTGGAACTATTCTGTTCAGGGTAAATCCCTAGTAGTCTCCTGAAATTAACTAAGTATTTTACCTTGGAATCACAGTAGACTTAAGTTTTGGTCTAAAGGTTAAGACCAATTTTGAGCCAAAGTTCTTTACATGAAGCACTGGCCTCAGGGATAATGAGCCCTTGCCAAGAAGAGTCAAAGGTGTAAAGAGGCAGGCAGCACACTGTCTGAATACACCTATATAATGACATACCTGGGTGAAGCAAGAAGGGAATTAGGTGTACAAATAACAGGCACCAGGATTAGATTGAGGAGCCGCTATGCTCAGGCCTATTTCTTCATCCTGCTGAACCTGGCCTGTATTTACTTTGATCATTACCTGCTGCTGTGCTTTAGTATAGAAACTGATCATTTGCTAACTAAATTATACCTCCTATACCTGTATGGGTGAGTATAAAGTGATAAAGGGCAAAAATTTACAAAACTGCATTTTTTTCTGTGCAAAAATACATCCAGGCATATTTGTGCTCTAGTCCAGACAAACTGTTTCAAGGGGTTCGGATCTGTCTAAGATGTTTAACTTTCATCTCATTCAAGTGCCCTATGTCTTTATGTTTTTGAAAGTAAACCTGATAAACTCAACTATGTCCAGGTTTCTGAATGGCCTAACATATGAGACTTTCTGAAAGAAATGAATAATTCCTACAAATTTTATGTTGGTACATGTATGAAAAATTCACAATAGGTATATATTCAGTCAAAAAATGTTTATGAAAAAGAGAAGTTGTTTAAATTGTGCATTATGCAAGTACTATATAATAATGCCAAAACCCATATGTTATAATAATACACCATGAACATGACCCTGTACTTAGGTCACTGATCTGTTATAGAGCCCCCACATTTCACAGATTGCATCACGTCTCTGGGTGAATACTGCTGTGAAGGTTCACATATTTCATTTGTCATACCTGGTATTTGTCATTCAAGTTGTAATTTGAGGAGTGCAAAGGTCAAGTGGGGGAAGATGTACTCTCTGACCACAGGGTGTGCTAGTATATTGTCTGTTACAAAAAATGCTGAAAGCCTATAGTGTGATTTTGTATAGTATTTTAGTGGTCCCCTGATTTCAGAGGGTAGGGAAGATGGGGGAGGGGTAGATAGGGGACATAAACTGTATGTCTCTTTTCTTTGACTCAGTGAAGCCTGTTCTGGAGTTCAAATTTATCTTTTCAGGGATTAAAATCTAAACGACTGCAATCTTGTATTGGATGGAAACAATTCCAAGAAGCCCTTGTTTTGAAATAGAGAGAGAAGACCAAAAAGATTATGAAAGGGATCTGTCAGTGACAAAACTCAGGTCTGCCTTCCTCTCTTGTTCATTTATGATATTTGACTCAAGGAATATTGTACTAGCTATAGTAGATACAAGATGAATTTATCTGGGGAAATGTGTTATTGATTGGTGCAGAAAATATTGTGGCTTTATATACATATTGATGAGCTTTGCATCCAATTAACAGGCTGTATTCAACTTGATCATCTTTGTCAATACCACTTACCAAGTAATATTGTTTCTCTTCTAACTTTCAATCTGGCATCTACCCGGTAGTTCATGAATATAGTACACATAATACTCTTCCACTGCTTGGCATACTAGTATGACAAAGTGACTTTCAAATCGGGGTGATATTTTGCAGCACAATTAATACTTTGGGCATGGAAAACCCCAGCAAGATAATCTTTTGTTTGTAAACACATGTTCTTGCATATCCTGCTCAACCAAGGATTAATATATGCAAATCTGGTACTGATATTCTTATCTAACTGATCTGAGGTCCTTATCTAAGAATCTTATTACCACAAATCTACTTTCAAGTCCTGTAATTAAGAGCAGGCGTGCAGCAGTCAAATTTGATGTTATCAATATCTCCCCTCAAAACTGACAGAAAATGTAAGCTCTTGACAGAAAATTAATGTTAACCTCAATGGCTTGATTTAGCCTTTGGGTCTTAACACCACCATGAATGCCTTTCAAAGAAAGAAACCAACCATCAAGTATAATATATGACATGCTTCAGTATTTCACTGGAACAATAGATGGATGCACTGAAGCCCCATTAAAAATACCCCCTCCCCCACCCTTTAATTAAAACCTGGTTTCTCTTCAAATAGCTGTTAGGTAAATAAGTAAACACTATACATTTTCACCAGAGAACTCAAGTGACATCAATTTATCACCTTAAGGACTATCTGCATCTTTTTTAATTTCTTAGGATTTAGCTGTCAAAAGGATTCAATATTGTTGGCTTAGGGGAAGCTATAGTTTCTTACTAGATAAACATGGCTTTAGAGTGCCAGAACCCTGGTGACCACACCTGGGAGTCAGCCAGTATGTTTAACACTATATACTGACTTCTACATTCTGTAAATGTAATATAAACTAAATGGAATTTTTTTGAAATTTTGAAAATTGACATTTCTGATTCAGTGAAATTGGTCATAAGTTTGAAAACAAGTGGTTTCTAACTTTGAACTTTTTGGTGTTTAAAAAGAAACTTTGTTCAATCCAATACTTATCTTTACTTATCTGTCACCTATCCGTCACCTATCTGTCACCTGCATGCTTTTAACATGTTCCTCCTGTTATCCAACCAAGGTGTAGCTCAGACAGTGTGCATTAATAAGAAAATGTTGTAGTCTTAAGTACAGAATGAGCAGAAATTTCACCATCATTTGTAACAGACAGTCCTTGGTATCTTCATATTGTTTAGTTTTGTTGATAGCAACCATGTTTCACCACCAAGTACAATTCACTGTGTGTATCAGTTTTTTTCTAATAACTTTGATCACACTGGAATTTCCTTGAAATCTCACTTCACATCTGGTTCTTTCTCTGACATTGGGGGAGGGGGTGGGGGTGGAGGGGTGCTTGATGTCTGGACTGTCCGCATAGAATGTATGATTATGACTGATTTTTGACCATAGGAGTCCCGAGTCCTAAGATGTTCTGGCTACTGCTAGACTATACCGTTTGTCTCCGACTCAGCAGGCTACTGTCTAATATTAAGCTACAGAATCTTTTTATTTAAGCCATTTGTACCTGTACCATTCATTATTAACAAAAGGTGGAACATCAAAATCACTGGAATCCATGAAGGAGTTCTGCAGCAACAAAATGATTTGATCAGCATATAGCATTAGTTTTTGTTATTGTATGATAATACACACATTTCAGCACACTACGGACATCAGTCAAGTCACTTGATATTATTTTCATCATTCAGTAGAGGAGAACCGGTGTCATTCACAGCTCACTGACTTCCCACATTCATTGCAAATGATGGTGCAATAATCATAACTTCATCTACTGCCACGTTGTACATGTACATGTATATTAAAAATGCAAGGTTAGAAAAGTGGCTATTATTTTTGTATAACCCTGTGAGAGTATCATGTTATTTATTTAATTGTTAGATAATTCAAATTGTAAATAGTTGCCCTATCATTCTTTAAACCTTGTAATAGTATAAAGCTTCACGTTGTATAGTACAGGAAATATCCTCTACCATTACAAAGTGTCCCTAAAGTAAAATTGCTTTGCCTAATCAGTATATAATATGACACAATCCACCTTTGTCTGCTTCACCTCTTCAATTACCCAATGCCTGTTATTGTTGCTTGGTAATAGTTCATTCATTTGTGCTTGGACAAAAAAAATACCCACATATTGTACATGTATGTGCCACACCCTAAAACACAGGTTTCTTGATTGTAATTTATGCAGTTAATACAACAGAGAATGGTAAACATGGACAAAGAAGGACAATTTTAATTTGAATAAATCTTACAATAACATAGAAGAAGCTGTTTAGAAAGCATTTCATTCACCAAACAATACATAACACAGTAACTAACAAGTGTCTGTTGTTTATTGATACACATATTTAGTTAGTAGATGGCCTTTCAAACCACAAACGAGCTTTTATCACCACGAATTGCCAGGACATGAAACACATAATATATAAATGTTGCAGAAATTGGGATTATTTGCTGTGGGTAACCGAGGCAACATTTATCGTGACGGTTACTATTCACCAGAAGAGTTTAGTAGGTCAATGTCGTATTAGTTTCGTGGGCCTACAGTACCTGCCCAAACGGATCCAATTCCCCGCCCAAACCTTCAAATGAAATAATCTTATGAATAAAAGGTGCCATCTTACCTAATTGAAAAGATAAGATCCGACAAATTCATACACTAACTTGGCTCTCCCAAATGATCCAGCGTTTTGTCGACGCAATAAATCGAATTTCTTGTGCAACTGCTATCCGTCGATCAGCTGAGCTACAGCTGTCAAAATTTGACCCCTAGAAAAATTTCCAGATCTACCGTTATTTGAGATCATATTCGAGTATTTCTTACCTTTCCTGGTTCCTTGGATACTTTTCTACGCGTCTGGCTAAGTTTTGTTACGATACTTGTGTTGTAATCTTTGAAATTCACTATCAATTTTTTCACTTCTTCGATACGAGTTGTTGACGTTTCTCAAACCTTTGTTTACGTTTACATCTGCCACGTTTTCATTGGCTGATATCAAAAGACTTACTCCAAATAAGGTAAAACCTTATGAATATTCATGACGGAATTGTTCCTCCATGGCGTGCCTCAGGAGTGCTACATGTTTACATCACATGACAAGCTGAACTTTGACCCAGGGCGGCCGTAAACATATCCCGGAATGCCGTCTGATTTTCCGAATAAAAGCCTCGATTTCGGTATTGTATATTTGTAGCTTGTAATATCAAAAACGAGGCCAATCGTGTATATCTGTCAAAACGAAACTGTAAAAAACCCCAGTGGATTAAAATACGATGTCCATCGATTCTTTGATATAATGTAAGTTGTTTTTACAACAGAAAACATTGCAGTCGGGATAACCGATCATTGAGAAAGGTATTTAGATTTTGCCATCAAACCTTTTTACGTATAATGATACTGAAATTGATGATATTTTAACATAGTACAGTACATCACGTTATAGTATTATACGTGAGTCAAATGATCAAAAATAAGTTATGCAATTACTGATATATTAATGTTGTTACACAATGTATTGTAGACACTTGAGGAGGCTAGCAATCAACTTAAGTTATCAGTTGTCAGCTGAGCTTGTAATAAATGCTATTCTCTTTGCAGAGATTATTGTATGGTCTAAATTCTTATTTTTTAAATTTATTTGTTAAAAACCTTTGCTTCCGGGTTGTATGTTGTTAATGTTTGTTATTGTGGTTTTAAGTAGTACTCTGTTAAAATACAACAGTTGCTGAAAAGATTTATGTTTTCATTTGTGTATTACAGGACCATATGATACTGGTACATGTACATTTTGACATTTGATGTAATCTGATAAACTGCACAGTCAATCCTAGAACTGAATTGGAAGTAGCAGGACATTAATTAAACCACATACTTAGGATGCCTGTGGATGTCAATGAAGTTGTGGCAGTGTGTGCTGACTTGGCAGATGAAAAAAATCTCCGCGTGACAGTGCAAGAAGCACTAAAAGGTGGTCTGATTGCTGGTGCTACTACAGTAGCAGGGGGGTTGTTGTTAGGACCAGTGGGGTTTGCTGTAGGTAAGTAATAAATACAAGGCTGCATTCACAACCAAAGTTGATCTGCAGACTAACAGATCCCCAGCTCACAAAGGGCCAACCCACTTGAAAGCTATAATCCTGCAGAGAATCTATTCAGGGTCAATGGGGACATTCAAAATAGATGATCAGAGTACTAACTGATTCACTGACTAAATATGGCCAACCATACTTCAAAAGCGATGCTGCTGATTCGCAATGGTCGGCAAATCAGTTAGTACTCGGATCATCTATTCTGAATGGCCCCTATGGGATTATGGAGCAAGCTTACAAGTGGGTTGGCTATATATTTGATCCAGTGATCTATATCTCCAGCAGATCAACTTGTTCAGAATGCCCCCCCCCCTCCCCAAGAATCAACGAAATGCATGTGATGTTAATGAGTGTGAAACATATGAATAGATATGTCACATACACATTGGTGACAAGTGGTGTGTCTTACTTCTACCATTTATACTACATCAGATGCCAAGAACAAATCTTTCAAATTTGGTGTTACTTGCATTCATGTGTGATTTTACTGGGGTGGATCCAGAGCTATTGTCTGACAGTCTTCCAAATTATCTTGGTTGATCCATCCTCCATTTTTGACTGTCTTCCAACAGAAAATATAGATACTTATCAATGTAAACTTGAATATCTGTCTGTCTTTCTGAAGACCCAGAAGACAGCCTCAATCTGCCCCTGTTTTAGTATCCATAAAGCACTATATGTCTGTATCACTTTTTGACATTCACTTGACATTCACTCTCTCTCTCTCTCTCTCTCTCTTTACGCACACACAGCTTTTTTTCTTTGATGTAAATTAGGGTCTTGTTGTCACTCTGTGGGTAGATTGGTTTTTTTCCATCCTTACACTTTGCAGGAGGAGCTGTAGGTGGAGCTGCAGCCTATGCGAATGCACAGGGAAAATTCAAACCTGTTTCCACTGTCCTAAAAGAAATGGAGCCTGAGAAAAAGAAAATTTTGTACGATCGTGTGCAGCGCATTATAAGTGGCATTACCATTGAAGATGGCATTGCCTTGCTGGCTCTCATCCATTCAAGTGAATCAATGCAAGCAAAGTTCATGGGTGCAATCAAGTTTCTCGTTCAAGATCAGTTGAAGATGGAGCTAATAGATGGTCTTTAAAAACATTTAGCAATGCCTTGGTGTCTATGGTATTTGATAAATGTCTTACATTGAGTTTGATATATAACAGTATTTATTATAGTTATATGTACCAAGTGTCCTGAATTTCTTTTGACAACTTTTTGTTCGATTCCAAATTCTTAGGCTCTGTTCCTACCAAGTTGTTCTGCCTACTAACTGATGGGCTGATCATATATGGTTGACCCACTTGATACCTTTCCATGTAATCCCCTAATGGATTCCCCATGGGGAATTCCCAGCAAGTTTTCAAGTGGGTCGGCCATATATGATCAGTGGATCAGTTTTATCGACAGATTGACTTGGTCATGAACAGAGCCTAATGTATATCAGTATATATGTTTTTGAACAATGTATTTCTTAATAAGGTTACATGCATTCCTTGCATTTTCACTTTGCATGAATTTGCAACTTTTGAGGAGTAGGTATTATTTTATTTCTTTTGTAAGAATGCAACATGAATATGAATACAGGTTTTTACAAAGAAAATTGTAAAATGAAAGACAAGAGGTCCCTAGTAGAATCCCTTTGACTTTATTTTTTACAGAACATTGTAGTGTAGCTAGAGCAGCTTCTTTTTGAATGGTGTACTGTATATGTCAATTCATTCTTTGGCATTCAAAACTGTTTGAGGAAAAAATTAATGGATGAGGTATTGTGCAATATATCTTCTTCATTATTTTCTTTTAAGATATAGCGCTGTTGGTATTATTTCATTACTTTGGCTATTACTACGTATATTGGTTATATTTTCATCAGCATTGGTTTGCCTATGTGTTTAATAGTTTATTTGTCTATAAGCCTCTATGTTAGTGGAAAAGATATTTTGAAAAAGATTTCCAGCTTTTAATAAAAATTTCTGGACTCAAGAATTGATTGCAATTTCAATTGAATCTGGGTCTCCTTATGTTCAAGTCATGTGACTAATGGTACTTTTTTCATTGGTGGATGTTTGCACTCTTGGAGTGCCCTCCAGTTTAAATTTGTCACTGATAAGACAAAATAAGTTTGAACTAATTTGATTACAGTAAGACATTTAAAATGTGTAACTTTGTCTGATATCAGCTTATACTCAATCAAAAAATGCAAAATATTCTCTGGGATGTAAATTACTGGTGATATTAACAATGGTTGTGTATGGGTGAGTGATCGGGGGGGGGGGCTTTTTTGCTCCTTAATTTTTTCTTGTTCAACTACTGATATTTTAGCATATCTCAAATATATGAACATACTAAAAGTGGCTGTGTCTAATGTCTTGTAATGAGGGTTTAATATTTGTTAGAAAAATATTTTGTACTTTTTATTGATTTTTTCTAAATACGTTTGATGATTTGTTCTTTTACAGGGGGCTGTAGCAATAGTCCGAAGGTTCAGTAGTCTGAATGTTCACTATAAAACCTTGGGACCAATGAACCCTTGATTAAAAAACTGAAGAAAATGTTACCATTTTGGTTACATCCCTATACATCCCCGCACCAATACTCCCCCGCACCGATACTCCCCCGCAGTATCGATGTGGGGAAGCAATGATGTGGGGGAGTATCGGTGTGGGGGATTAACAGTGGCCCAAATCGGCAATTTTACTGGGGATGTATCAATGCGGGGATCTATCAGTCATATCGATGCGCATAATACACAAAAATTTACTAAGGGGGATTGTTGGTGCAGGGGAGTAATGGTGCAGGGGAGCATCGGTGCGGGGGAGTAACGGTGCGGGGGAGTAATGGTGCGGGGGAATATCGACATGACCCCACCATTTTTCAGACCAATGAACCTTCGGACTATCGAGATGCCCCCCTTTTTAAAGTGTATGCAAGTATCACAAGAGTCTGTCAATATTGTAAGTTGCATATTACAGCAATAACACTAAAGCAGGACATTATATGGATGAAACTTACCCATATCTTCTATATCACTAATATATATAGACAAAATATAAAATAACTTAATTTTTTACAGATTATTCCTTGTAAGTTATGTTGTTTGTTTGTATAGTATGTTGACAGACATTTCAGTATTACCAAGATGTATACAGTGCAAGAGAAGGATGACCAATTCACAAAACAGGCTAAAGATTTATTGCAATGTTTACATTTTTTTTCCTCGGGCAGATATTGTGGTAACTCTATATCACACCAGTTGGTGATCAAAAATTGATGCAGTCATTATGATAAAGATGTGTGCAGAAATATTTAAACCAGACACAAGAGATTGTTGACTATGCTTTAGCATCATATCTAGAATCAAATTTGATACATGTTTTACTCACCTACATTTGTACATGCACATGACTGTGTAATTGTTATATGTGTGTGCATGTATCACAATGAGATATTTTTATTACTCAGAAGTAGATTTGGTGAATTGATTTTTTTTTTTTTTTTTTTTTTTGGTTTAAATAATAGGAAATCTTTTTGTAAGGCAAATTTTGCTTTGTAATCTGTCAGACTTTGCACCTAAATAAATTAATTGCTTTGAATTTATGTATATTAAATTCCCTTTTGATACATGGCCATCTCTCTTAATTATCCCCATCAACAAATTAATTTATATAGTCTAAAACCATTGGTGTGTAATTTGAAACAATTTTTTAATTACTCCACAAATATTGTGATGTTTAATTTTGCAATGGCATATACATGACTTTTTCCAATGAATATCCTTGGATCTACAATGTATACTAAAAATGTATAATATTCCATTTAACATTATGTGAAAATGCTCGTGCTTGGATATAAAATGTAAGACAGTAATAAATGCTATGATATAAATAATGTAACATTTTTTCTCTTATTTCTTTCTTCATAACATCCAGTAGAGTTTTTATCCTCGTCAGTTGAGTTAATTGAGAATTCTATATATAGCAAATGCATTCTCAACTACCGCAATGTGTTGTATCTCTGCTGTTCGTTTCCCTTTTTGAACAGGTAGCAACTGAGCAATATGGCGAGATGACAGGTAAACAACTCCTCTCTATATTAACTGGTGTGTTTATAGAGTTTTTCTGGACTTAAATGCAAGATGGTGTATTATATTAATTAAGCTTTGTTAAGGGATTAAATGTCTGTTTTGTGGTATGTAGGTCACATTGACTAACTCTACTAATTCGGTTAAAATAATGCGACTCGTGGTCATGATAAAGTCGAAGAAGACAGAACTCAATGGACCCAAGCCCACGCCGCAAGTAAGATGCTCGTCAAGAATAATTATTAAGTAGATACTTCCACCACTTTTTCATATTTCATCCTGTCAGATGAATTTCAACTTAAAAGAGGAAACGAATATGATATAAAAATATTTACAGTATTTTTCTTGTGACTGACTGACCAACTACATAAAACCATAGAAGTACTTCTATGATAAAACGTATGGTTCCTACATAAAACTAGTATGCTGGTGCTGGCATACATAACAAATGACTGGTTGAACATGCATGAAAGTATGCGTGAACCGTGATGCGGAGAGCCACAGATGGTGTCATGACTCAAAAGTCTAGTAAATTATTTCAATCCGTCGCTGACAGTTCGTGGAAAATAAGTAAGGTTGTTTTTGTAGTAGGGCATTGCAAGCGATTTTATGATTTTGTATACATTTGGCTATTTGCATTACTAGTGACCCACTAGTGTACTTAAGTAGTAGCGTGCTGTCACTTTCCATATACTGAGTATAGGATTTGTTAATTGTAGCCAGAAAGGGGGTTATCTTCTTCAGGTGATAAGGTTGGTGAGTAATTGAGAAACCCATACAGCAAGGATTGATTTGTCTTATCATTTTCCTATCACCATATCTTGCTGTGGGCCTATAGGGATATTTAATAGTTAGATAAATGTCTGCGTGATGAGCAGCCTTGCAGTCAGTCCTACCTGTAGCATCAGACTGATGGAATCTGATGATTTCTAGTCTGCAAATTATGTCAGCCTCTGGTGTTACCTAACCAAAGGTACTAACTTAAGTTATTGATAGTTTTTAGCATATAAAAAAGTCATATTGATGGCTTATGTTAAAGTAGTTTTACTTAGTTATATCAATACGACTTTTTTGCTGTTCATATAAAATTGATTCACCATTAAACTGTAACTGTTAATCAAGCTGCATTTCCTAAAAGGTCTATCAGATTAAGTGCTCAATTTAAATGGATGCACCAGGTTATATACTTGAATTTTGTAAGGTGTAGTTTTTTTTTTTTTTTTTCAAAGGTTGGTGTAAAAATGTTTTGACAAATTAGGCTAATGTTTTTCTGAATATATGTCCTGTTGCAAATGACAGTTTGGCATATATCAATATGTCCAAGCTGCCATATTAATAGCAAATGTTTAGTTAATAGGCAAACCTCATTCTCAGCCAAATTAGTCAAAGAAAATGAATTGTACATTTCTTGCCTGATCAATACCTGCATTCAGGTAAATTTCTAAAGAGTTTCAACGCAGCCATAAAATGTAACAATCAGCGTGACATAAGCTTCTAGAAACCATAGCTTGCAAAAACAAATTGGCTTCGCAGATTGCGCATAATTTCCCGTCAATAATTAATATCATTGGGCGAATGCCTGTGTGATTAGGCTCTTATATGAAGTTGCTAGCTATGGACCCCATTGGACGTCTTGACGTGTATTGGGTTTGAACCGAGTTGTTGCTATTTAAAGAGAGATATTATCGAAGGTGTAGTTTAGCTAGAGAAAAGGTTAATGAAGCATTGAGGGATTATTTTGAGATCACTCCTGGAAGACGATTCACTGAGATGAAGCTTACAGAAGATATTTTCCAATAGAAAA